GATATAGTTGTTAGCTATTTAGCTCTCTAGGGCGAATGAAATCCCTTTAGGTGGATATTCGAGACAGTTAATACTCTCGCACTGACGTTATATATTTTTCGTCTTTGTATAATCAATATAACAGAAGCCGCTGTGTTTAATGGAGACTAGTAGGCCTATTTACAGTTCAACAATTTAAAGCACAATGAGACGTCCGAATCAAGGAGTATACATAAGTTTGTATGTTAGGCCAGTAGGAGCATCACCCCACCCCACACACGTCTCTCTCAAATACATTTTCTCTCCACTCTCGCCTGTTAGTGCACTTGTTTACTTCTTGCGATCGGGCTGAAAAGCGGCGCGGTTAGTATCGGTTATCTCCCTTTGTCCATAACGCTTCTCGATAGCTCCAGTCTTGATTTGAATAATTGCCGGCAGCAGCTTCTCAAGCAAAATTTTTTTCTATGTCACAGAGTTCAAAGTCTTGCCCAGAAACCTAATTATAATCAATGGCGGGTCGCGGCAGTGTTTGCAAATAAATTTAAAGGCATTTGCATGCGTTAGCTATTGATATCTTGACCATATCACTACACGACGTGAATGTACATTATGAGCTGTACACAAACCATGTACACGAGTAATGGACACGATGTAGTGAGAAGCCCCCCAAACATCTAAGGCCTTTTTTGTCGTCGTCATTCACTTCCCCGGCTGATTAACTCGACCTTTACATTCATGGTCTCTGAACCAACCACGCCTATACCTGTCTCTACGAGTAATTCATACATCCCTGACTTTGTCCCATCTGTAACTGCCGAGAATGACTGATCGTATTCTTGTGACGCTGTTTCTTTATATTCTCAATCCTATACATCCGTATTAGACCACCGTCCCATCTCGAACTACGCATGTCTCGAATGTAATGCCTCTCTAGAACAAAATCTTCGGTAACAAACGTCTCCTTATGCAAGTAAGTATAATTAAATTTGTTGTTAAATTTCTCGAATTTCGATTCATATGCACACGTTGTTTGATCCCAGGAATGTTAACTTTGTCACGATACAGCATATTATTTATAGTTTTGCCTCGAATTCTAACAGACATACTAGTATAATATTATATTCAAAATGATCTCCGTGCACAAACATTCCAGATCTATTGATATTCTGTCCTTGGACACATAAGCACATTTTGAGGCACGTGTTTCCAGATTCAAAATATTTCTTCAAGTTGGTTCAAGAATGTTTTCGCCAAGAATTTTCTTCGGTATTTTCTCTGGTATTATGGAGGAATCATGGTCCTGTGCCCATGTTCAGCAAGGACTTTGATGTTGAAATGCATGTTCTGTGTGAAACAATGGTACTTTCTATACATAACACTAGTAATCGTTTACTGTTATATTGTACATTAAAAAATATGAACTTCTGATATACATAGCTCCTATTTAAGAACTGGAGTCAAGTTGTTTGTCTCCGATTTCGAGTCGGGACCGGCAATATCCCTTCTGGGTTTCCATACAAGCCCTTTTGTAATCAGTTTGACAAATTCAACATACACGTCTGCGTTGAACCTATCATGAAATTACCAACCAAGGTCTCGTATTAATACCCGAACACAAATGTCCCAGTACATTTAAGTCTATTTAAACAGCTATTTTAAGCCAGTCGTGATAGCTTGATTATATATGTAAGAGTTTGACGAATGTGGTCTGCACTTTAATTTTATCTCGTGTCTTCGTGTCCTTTGTATACACTCGCTATGACGTCAATGTACACACATTTCAGGTATACCTTCCTGGCTTGCCTGTAAGCTAAAAATAACCAACTTGGTTATTTTTAGAGCGCATATATAAGGCTGAATACGGGTGGGCACCTGTCATTCGTGTCTCGTCGCTCCCACGGTGTCAGCTGTTCGGCGCAGTGAGACTTTCCCACACGTTTGTATACAAACACCCACCCACTTCAAGATCAGATGTATGCGTCAGAGTCGAATGTTGAAACAAGTTTAGTTTGGAGGTTTAGGAAGTATGTCACCATCTTAAATATTCACCTTGAGAACGTTGCAAGGCGTTTGTCTTTCACGAAATCCGCGTCTCTCCCTTCATGTTTGATGTAGCCCAATGGTTTAGTGTCCGCTAGTCACACTATAGTCATGGGTTCTATTTCCAACATGGTTACAATGTATGAAGACCATTTCTGGTGTCCCCCGCCGTGATATTGCTGGAATATTTCTAAATGATTATGCTTGACGATGTACATGTTTAAGGCCAACATCAGATCAAAAGTGATGTCAAATGCACACATATAGCTAAACTATGCCAAACAAATAATAATTATCTTCCTTTCCAAAATGCTAAAAATGCACAAAAAAAAACCAACCAAACCCGTAAAACCATACTTGGTGTGGAAGTCGCGGTGGCTGAGCGGGTAGGCGGCTGACTTTGCGTGCCGGATGGGACTCAACCCAACAAAAGTACTAGAATCTCTACTTTACTAAGAAAGTGTAATCCCAAAGATAACACATGTTTTAAAACCATACTCACTCACTCCTTCATGTTTTAAGTCAGGTATCCCAGACGCTATACACCTTGAAGTTTACTGTCATGTTAGTCAAGCGCTTTAGGGAAAAGAAATAAGTTTAAAACGAATCTCTTTTTCAAAGTCAAGACACATCATTCAATGTAGTATAGCCTGTTAAACAGAAGTAACAATAAAATATTACTGATTTGATATTGCCCGTAGCGGTGTGAAACAGCATTCACTCAATCCCTTCCATCTTATTGCGGAAATACTCGTAAGGGAAAACCAGTCAATAAATCCACGAAACTTTATCATGTTCCAAACATGCAGATCTGCCCCCGGAATATTGACTTTATTTATCAGACCAATCACTGTAGTAGCAAGAGATAACGATACCATTAGTGCTATGGTAACGTTAAAGTCTTCCTCCTTCATAGGCGAAACTGTCGTGAGTCAAACAAGGAAAACGGGATGGATTTTCAAAATATTATACTATGTCAGTACCGCCATAACAGCATCGAAACAGAAGTGAAGCTAGATGTCAACTTTACTGTATATTGTGGTTCAGTCGTATGGGGCACATTTACTTCCCTTATGTCTGCCAGAATCCGATGATCATAGGATTGAAACCCAGATGGCACGCATTAAGCTGTGACACTATGGCTGTGACACTGTTCGAAGGTCCCTTATCTGTGACGTTTCTGCTTACATAGATGGCAGTTAACGACTCACCAGATGTTGCATTTGCAGAATAATTCCCCAGAATATTACGTTACATCGGCATATAATTATATGATAGTCTGTCTCACAGCCCCTGAACCATCTTATTTTCCCTACAGCCCAGCCCTACCTGCAATGCTACACAACCAGAAATTATTGAGACTTTAAGATTGTAATTTATTTTACTGATCAAAGAAGTTAGAAAGTCGTGGTCCATGCTGTCCCAATATCGGACCACCTCTTCTTTCATTTCAGCAATATTTGTCAGATTTTTCTTATTGACACTCTCCTTCATAAGTCACGAAACATTTTCTATTGGATTTAGGTCAGGGCTATAGCTTGGCCAATCTAATAATGTCATATTTTGGGTCCGAAACCAGGCCTGTGAATGCTTTGAACGATGTTTTGGGTCGTTGTCCTGCTGGAAAATCCAAACATTTCCATAGAACACGTAAGCAGATGGAAGTAAATGTCCCTCGAGAATATCTGTGTACCGCTCACTGTTCATATTCCCTTCAAATACACAGAGGGGCGTTGCCCCTAACACAGATATGCCACCCAACACGTTAAATTTCGGACTGTACTTTGGGCGCTGATACAAAGGTTTTTCAGTTTGTTTGGTCCAGAATTTCAGTGTATTAGGAAACAGCCACACAGAACTTTCATCTGAGAAAATCACATTGTCCAAGTTACAATTTCTGTGCTGTAAGCACCAGTTCAACCTTCGCTCCTTTTGTTCAGGTTTCATGATCGGTGATGGAATTCCTCGACTTTTCTGCCAACCCATTGCATGCAGCTCAGTTCTAATTGTCTCCTTACAGACAGCCACAGTTCCTCTATCAATCATATCCAGACTTAAGTCTTCTAAACTCCTTCGTTTGTTTTTAGAAACAAAAATACCAAGCCGCCTCCTGTCACCGACAGTCACTTTTCTGGGCCTACCTGCGCCTCCCTGGTGCTCAATGCCATATCCATTTGCAATATTTTTCAAAACACGATAAACAATGGACAAAGGGATGCCTGTTCTACTTAAAATCACTTTAGCTGATCTGATGTCCTTGTTATAATACTCTAAAATCAACTTCCTCTTCTCTAAATCATCCATACTGATGATCACTGGAAATGTCGTCTGCTAGCAAGTAAACAAAGGGGGATAACTCTTCACAAAGTAATTAAAAAGAATTAACGGAGTTGTCTCTCTTAAATGAAACCAAGCACTTGATAGCTAGCTGGTCAAGGTTGTTTATACTAGAAATCCAATAAGACATATTCCTAAAATTCTCAATAATTTCTGGTCATACTATAAAGCCCTAAATGGAGCAAGTCTAGATGTCCTTAGGTTCTGAAATCTCTGGTCTCCCTGGGGCTCCTTTTCAATTGAAATGGGTTTATTTGTTACAATCAAAATTATATATAATCAAGCACTAAGCATTAGGCTAGTTATATAAGTATACATGTGTATTTTATATTTGAGTACGTGTGAATATTATCGAAATATCTGTGTATAGTATGTGAGTGCATGTAAGTATCAGCGCACCCGTTGTTTTGCCTTGAAGAACACATGTAGACAGACATTCAACTGGCAATACGAAGAAATATTATGTCGTTTTCATAGCTTTAATCAATATATTTCTCTCTCAGACGCTGTGTTTAGCATTAAGAAATTGCAAAACGACAACATCCGACCGTATCTCCAACTAGGTCAAGTTGCTAACCACGCCACATAGGAGGCGCGTGCCGGGTAGATCACGTGACTGGGTGTGTAAACGGATGAGAGGTCACGTAAGAGCTTGTCGCACCCTTTTTGCGTCATGGGTAGAAGTGAAGTGTTTATGTCTAATCTTCCGAGAAGACAGGACATTCAACACATCCGTTCCAGTTTTATAGATGACGTTCCTGTCGACAACGAGGATGCTGACGAATTCGTACGGATACCCACCCAGGTAAATATATTTTGTATTTTTGAACAGACTTTGAACAGAAGAGATGAATACGTATGTTTTAAAACAAGGGTAAGTTTTATTATCGGTTTTGAGGATAATGCCATTTTTGTTTGTGTATTTGAAACGAAATACAGAATACGCAGGTAGCAAGCTTACCCTTCGTGACAACAGTATATTCGGCACATTCAGGTTCGGTACAACCATGTTTGACTGTACATCGGTCTCTCATACAATCTTTTAGACGAAATGTTGATATTGCGAATACGATGTACAGGGACCACATACTGCTCATAGTGTTCCAGAACCCACAAAAGATGTATTTATAATGTATACACACCGCGACAGAGTAATTACTATCACTTGGAATAACGGTGTGTTCTTTTCAGTAGTATATGCACAAGGGCAAAATATGTCAGAAGCATCTGAAGTTTAACCCTTTCTCCGACAAGGTATAAAGTATACTGATGTAAGATTAGGGTTAAGATGGATCAAGATGGCTTGATAAAATACTTGATATAACCTTACTGGGTCTTTGGCAAGTTGTTTGTTTTGTGCATTTATATTGTCTTTAGATTTATGCTCATTAATGATATTTCATTACTGATGGACATATATGATTAATTTCCTTGCGTTTTGAGTACTAGTATATAGTATATGTTATTTGAATATGTTATTTTGATATTAATTTTAATATTCTTATTTTATTCCTGGTGTGGAAGTTTTTCTGTAGTTGTACGTATTTCAATGAAGCATGTATATTGTTGATTATTGCAGTGCCCTTTCTCCGACCAAGCCTCCCTTGACCCCTGTTTTGAAAGAGGCGATACTGGCACACAGGGTTACAAGTGGTGTTATGGAGTGTGCCAAGCTCCTCCGCTGTAACCCTGACAACGTGATGCTGTGCGTACTGCCTGAGGCGCGTGGACAGCATGACGTCACACTGGACATCCAACACACCCTCATTGAGGCGTTTTGTTGGGAGAATGACATCCAACTCATAAAGGTAAATGTTGGAATCGTGACGCTACGAGACCATTCTCTTTTTTGGGTTGATTGTGTTAAATTAGTTAAACAATGTACCGTGATGTATCAACCGTTCTTGCTGTCCCAAGATTCGTAATCATTTGTAAGCCTGCGTGGTCTAGCGGGTAGAGCGTATGCCCGGGAAACTAAGGCTCGGTGGCTCGATCCCCGGTCGTGTCATACCAAACAGATGCTAGAAGAAGGTATTGGGTATAGTGCAAAGGGATACAGGTTTGTTTGTTGTTTAACGCCGTACTAAGCAATATTCCAGCAATATTGCGGCAGTCTGTAAGTAAACGAGTCTGAACCAGACAATCCAGTGATCACATCATGAGCAGTGGGCATAAGCTGACATGTGTCAACCAAGTCAGTGAGCCTGACCACCCGATCCCGTTAGTCGCCTCTTACGACAAGCATGGGTTGCTGAAGACCAATTCTAACCCGAATCTTCACGGGTAGGGAGGGTACATGTAGTACGGGTCGGCTCGAACAGTATAATGTATCTGAGCGGGACGTCCATGTTAAAGTGCGACAGTGTCTCAGTGCGCTAAATAAACAAAATGGCATCAGTCCCTACTTGTACAGGCAGTAACAGTGTAACAACTTTGAACCCGACGTCAAACGCCACGTCACATCACCTCACCTATTATGGCTGGAATATTGAGTGAGTGAGTGAGTGAGTTTCGTTTTACGCCGCTTTTAGCAATATTCCAGCAATATCACGGCAGGGGACACCAGAAATGGACAGGCTGGGATATTGAAAAAAATGGTGGTAAAAATTCATTGCTGACTGAGAAGCACTATTCTCGAATGGCTGATATTGTTGCTTGTATTGACAACCCATAAATGTGGACAAGGCTCTAAAATGTGAATGAGTTTAATTTTACGCCGCTTTTAGCAATATTCCAGCAATGTCACGGCGGGGGACACCAGAAATGGGCTTCACACATTTTACCCATGTGGGGAATCGAACCCGGGTCTCATCGTGACGAGGGAACGCTTTAACCACTAGGCTACCCCAGCTGCTCCAATATGCACATGGTGGCGTGACGTACAGTTTCCTACGCTAATAACGAACTGACGGATATAACGAACTTACCGAGCACTTGTATTTTTTAGTCGAGATGCATATAACGACCTAAAATCAGTGGCCCTTTTGAGTTCGTTATAACCGTTGGGCGATGGGGTAACCTAGTGGTTAAAGCGTTGGCTTGTCACGCCGAAGACCCGGGTTCGTTCCCCACATGAGCACAATGTGTGAAGCTCATTTCTGGTGTCCCCCGCCGTGATATTGCTGGAATATTGCTTAAGGCGGCGTAAAAAACCTCACTTACTTGTTGTAACCGCGTAGTGTACTGCAGCTGGAATATCGGTGACAGCAGGGTTAATCAACAACCGCTCACACACCATATAACGATCCGTCTTCCTGGCCCCTCAGATCTATTTCATTACTACCTAAAAACATCGACGGCCGCAACACCCAACAGAAAAAGATAAATATTAATAAATAAGTTGACAATGTCTCCATTTCATGGGCAATGCATCGTGACGTAATTTTATCGTACATAACGCATTATCTTTGAGCTGTTGAAAATGATATCGTCAGAAGATAGATATTTTTTCTCTCCCAAAATTAATATCTGTTCGGCTTCTGTGACGCAGGTACAGTCACAACGTGGTAACAAACAAGTGATAAACGCTAACATGATTTATAACTATTTTTGTATGTGCGAGTGTCAGTTTGCTGCGGACTCTTACGGCCGTATTGACCCATTTCTATCGTATACTGGCGCTTCCAGTGGCTAGCATAAACACTTCCTTGCACGTTGTGATATATAATCATATGATACTCTTTTTCTGGAAGTGTTCGAACTTTCCATGAGATCTGGTTTATTTGTAAGTGTGAACAAACGAGAGTCACATTCTCTCGGTTCTGTGGATGATGATGAATCGGACGGGATGCATGACGCCAGGTGGGAATAATGCTTCAATATTTGATATGCGTTTGAAACCATACAACGTAATCGTATCTTAACGGGTCGTAACTTTGTTCCTTGGTACGTTTTTCCTCCTTTGTGATGCCGTTGACGATATGGACAGTGGTAAGAGTCGTTAAAGACGTTGCATTTCACTGTGCAGAGTTGCCTACCCTTTTGGTGCAAGGAGCCTATGATCATGGGTTTGAATCCTGGTTCCCCTTCATTATGTGTTATGTGTTGTTGCGCTATATAAATATCTATAATACTAATGTGTCTAAGTTTGACAGCAAAATACTGGGTCCCGTTTCACAAAGCTATCGTAGCGCTACGACTGTCGTACCTCCTATACTGTAACATAGACTACCATAGCTTTGTGAAACGGGGCCCTGGTGCTCGTGGAGCTTCACCAAGATGCCAATCGTCCAAGACCGGCATCGCTTCGGACGTTTCTCCCAGACAAAGCTAACATGCCATGATGTAACTAGAATGCTGACCAAAAACATCGCTTAACTTTAGTTGTAGTTTCACGTTGATCTTCCAAACTAATTAAAATCCACAGCCATTGTGCATTTTGACCATCCAGTCCACATAATTGCGCTGCAGACAAGTGATTGCATGTATTGCCCTGGATGTGTCCTCACTCACAAATACAATAAACTGGCTTATATCTTTCAGGTTGAAAATGCTGCAGACAAGTGATTGCATGTATTGCCCTGGATGTGTCCTCACTCACAAATACAATAAACTGGCTTATATCTTTCAGGTTGAAAATGCTGCAGACAAGTGATTGCATGTATTGCCCTGGATGTGTCCTCACTCACAAATACAATAAACTGGCTTATATCTTTCAGGTTGAAAATACAGAGAAACTCTCCAGTACCTTATGGATGTCTAGAAACGGTATCCACGACGTCACGGCGGAGGATGATGTATTTGATATGAGCTGTATTCTAATACAGGTATGTATATTCTGGTCATTCTGTGCAGATTGAAACCTTCGGCGGCAAAGAGTGAAACCCTTCTGTACCGAGTTAAACCTTTTATATAGAGTGAAACCCTTCTGTACAGAGATAAAGCTGTTGTATAGAGTGAAACCCTTCTGTACAGAGATAAAGCTGTTGTATAGAGTGAAACCCTTCTGTACAGAGATAAAGCTGTTGTATAGAGTGAAACCCTTCTGTACAGAGTGAAACCTTTTATATAGAGTGAATCGGGGAATCGAACCCGGGTCTTCAGCCTGATGAGCGAACGCGTTAACCACTAAGCTACCCCACCGCCCCAATCACAATGACACTGCAACTAGATATTAGTATTTACATACTGAACCCGACATATGAACCCGACGTCCTATATAGGTGGACTGTATTGCTACAAATTATCAACAATAATCTCTCGTTTTGCAGTACCCAGCAGTTAAGAGCCCACTCCGGTCACACTGTCGCCAGAGAGGACGGCCAAGACTGTTCGCGTCCCGGGACGTTCCGCCATGACACAGCAGAGCACGATTCACTATCAGGTACATACATATACTAATACATGTAAGGGCATCTAATTATTGTGTGTATGTCTGTGTTATGTGGAATTCTTACAACACTAGCAATATGTCTTGACGAATTTCAATTCAAAGCCGCCGAAAAAGAAAAAAAAATAATAATGAATATTTATAACGCGCCTTTTCCAGGCTAGATATCCTGCTCAAAGCCACAATCTGATCATTATTACCCCGGATAATCCAAGCTGCCTGTTAGGCGCTAGAAGGTTAATAGTCTCACGACTTTTTTCACCGGGTACCCATTTTCTGCTTGGTGAACAGAGGCAATTTTGAACAAACTCGCTTGCCTAAGGTGAGACCACATGTATCACATATGCTTCGTTGTGGGGCAGGACTGAAGTCCTAAAAACTCTTAGGAGTCAAGCTGTCACAAACGGGCACCCATCAAAGGACACACCGCGCCCTACGTTGATAACAGATTGTGACCTGAGCTTCATGCATAGGACCACACGCCACCAAAAAGCCCTAAGATTTGACTTTGTAGAGATTTCATCCTCGCTTAGGTTGTTAAACACGCGTTTTTATGCCATTACCACAGACCCAATAACATCCGGGTTAGAGTTGGGCATCAGAGTACCGTTACTCAAAGCCATCTTAGCACCAATGTGCTGGTAATTCCTATACCTCAACATAGACTTTCGACAGTAGTAGCGCTAAGATTGTGTTGTACAGTCAGTGTGAGTGAGTTTAGTTTTACGCCGCTTTGAGCAATATTCCAGCAACGAGGGACACGAGAAACGGGCTTCAAACATTGTACCCATGTGGGGAATCGAACCCGGGTCTTCAGCGTGACGAGCGAACGCTTTAACCACTAGGCTACCCCACCGCCTCTTTGTGTTGTACAACGGCTTCCAGTAACTTATCCTTGTTAGAGGCGGCTAACAGGATTCGCATGCTCGCGTATGCTCGCATATTTTGTTGGTATATCACTGTATGCCAATTGCGTAGATCAATGGCCATGATGTAAGTCTCTGGATTGTCTGGTCCAAACTCACATATTCACAAACCACTGTCATCCAGCTGGAGTCTTGGTAGAGTGCGGCGTTAAAAAACAAACAAACAATTGTGGAACAAAATCACTCTAAAATATTCAGGTATTCTGTGGTTTATTTTACTTTAAACGTTTTTTGCAGGAATCACTTTTGTCGCAGTTCCTGGAGAAGCAGAATTACTGCTGAAGACGGAGAGACAATGGCCACAGATGATGTTCACTGGCATGCTTAAGGGATTGATGTCTGCTTCATGGAAGTGTTTATTGCTTCAAAGGAAAAGTCTGCTTCAAAGAAGAATTCACTTCTTTTTATGGAAAGGTCTGCTTCAAAGAAAAAAACACTTCTTTGTATGGAAAGGTCTGCTTCAAAGAAGAAACCACTTCTTTGTATGGAAAGGTCTGCTTCAAAGAAGAAACCACTTCTTTGTATGGACAGGTCTGCTTCAAAGAATAAACAACTTCTTTGTATGGGAAGGTCTGCTTCAATGACTATTCAAATTCTTTTTATGGAAAGGTTGTTTGCTTTATAGAAGGATTCTCTTTTTCAAAAGCAAATACCGTGTGGTTCAAAGAAGTGTCCAAGTTTCTCTTCCTGAAATGTCGTCTGCTACAGAGCAACTCTGACTGAATCAGTGAGACATATGGCTAGTGTGATGTACATCTCATTCGCACAGTAAATAAAACACGCGTAACAATCTCTAATTAATGTTGCTGTTCAGATTACATCTTCCCAGCACTGTGAATATTGATGCGTTATGGTTGGTTGGTTGGTTGGTTTGTTGCCGCACTCATCAATATTCCAGCTGTGGTGGCGGTATGTAAATAATCGAATCTGGACCAGACAATCCAGTGATCAGCAGCATGAACATCGATCTACGCAACTGGGAACCGATGACATGTGACAACCAAGTCAGCGAGCCTGACCACCCGATGCCATTAGTCTTTAAGTCAAGCATGGGTTACTGAAGATCAATTCTAGTCCGGATCTTCACGGGTCAGAATGCGTTATGAAGAACACTTTTTTTGCAAATGGAAGGTTAATACCAAACATCAGTGGATTTATTTATATTGAAAATACATTTAATTGTCACGAAAGATGGGGAACCGATGTATTAAGTATTTAGCAGCATGCCATCTGAGACAGTCCACTGTACATGTAGCAAGGGTTCTCTGAGGTGAAAATTTTCCAGCTCGTTTTGCTGTTGTCGGCGTGTGCTACGATAGTTGTTTTTCCAGGGTAATAGACATTATTCTTGTCAGTTTCTTCACGTTCACGTGAGCTTGTTCACCGAGATATTATGTATGAGAGGATAATGTGAAATTCAAATGCCGGATGTTGTTGAGGGATAAAGCATTCAACTACATTCTTGTCTTGTTGTCAATAAAAAGCATGCCAAGACAAATCTTATTCTTAAGTAAGACCACCGTATTGGTGTAGTGGACAGAGCATCTGGTCTGAGAGTAGAAGGTCGGCGGTTCGATCCCTGGCCGCTTAATATCAGAAGAACCCGTGAAGATCCGGGTTAGAATTGATCTTAGGCAACCCATGCTTGTCGTAAGAGGCCACTAATGGGATGTGGTGGTCAGGGTCGCTGACTTGGCTGACATATCATCGTATTCCAATTGCGTAGATGGATGTTCATAATGTTGATCACTAGATTGTCTGGTCCAGGCTTGATTGTTTACAGACAGAGTGCGGAGTTAAACAAACAAACAAACAAACAAACAAAACATGCAAAGCATCATATCAAAAGTGAGTGAGTGAGTGAGTAAGAATTTAACGTCACCTTGGCAATATTTCAGCCATATAGTGACTCATATCAAAAGACATTAAGAGATTGCCCTCGATGTTTCTCTGCATGGCGCTCGGTATTATAGGCTAAACTAAAGATGGTCAGTTCGGGGTCAGTTTTCTGCGTCGGTCTGGGCACCCTTGTTAAATTGAGGCATGGTATATCATGTGAGTGAGTGAGTTTACTTTTACGCCGCATGCACCCAGCAATATTCCAGCTATATGACGGCGGTCTGTTAAAAATATCGAATCTGGACCAGACAATCTAGTGATCAACGGAATGGGAATCGACCTATGCATTTGGTATACGATGACATGCGAGAACCAAGTCAGCGAGCCCGACCACCCGATCACGTTAGTCGCCTCTTACAACAAGCATGGGTTATTGAAGATCAATTCTAACCCGTATCTTTACGGGTAGTATATCCATGGAAAAGAGCTATGAAAAACGGCATTAGTCGGGACCAGTACAAGTAGACCCGCACGCATGCACGCACACATTTCACACTGTACAGTGAAAATACAAGGTTAAGGCAATGAACATTGCATAGGTAGGTTAGCCTGTTGGTTAAAGCGGTTGCACTTACGCCGAGGCCCCGGTTCGTTTCCCCATATGTGTACTGTGTATGAAGAATCGCAAAAGATGGCACAAAACCATGTTCACTAACTATCAATCCATACGGAACCTGTGCCCAGGAAAGCGTCCAGAGTATCATCTATTTGGATTAAGGATTAATAGGCGCCAATGGGGTCACGTTATATATGCAGCTGACTGTACATGTCCGCAATATACAGTTTCGATGGTTTAACTGTGCAGTGAGGACACGCATAACGCTAACCGAAATGTTTTATAAATATAGGAAAAGAAAACAATTGTTAATCCAGAATATGGGGGGCGGTGGGGTAGCCTAATGGTTAAAGCGTTGGCTCGTCACGCCGAAGACCCGGGTTCGAATCCCCACATGGGTACAATGTGTGAAGCCCATTTCTGGTGTCCCCCGCCGTGATGTTGCTGGAATATTGCTAAAAGCGGCGTAAAACCAAACTCAGTCAGTCAGTTAATCCAGAATATCAATTATACCATTCATACTTTTTTAACCTGACGAAGTAAGATCGACATGTTAAAATGTTGATCGCCTAATCTGCTCGATTCCCTCAATCATTTTAAAACCGTAACAAATGTCAACCTCCATATTGTATGTGTGTTGACTTAGGCCTAGCAGTTCACAACACAAATAACAAATACAAACAATAACATTCCCCGACATAACTAAAATACTACATCAATCGAAAAACTTTAACAAATAAAATGCATGTCAAACAATTTGCCTCAAACTATTTTATTACAATGGCGGGTAAAAACCAGATACCTTAAATAGCTCAAACAGTCAAGGTCAACGACTTGCGAAGCGAAGAATGTGACTTGAAGCATCCTTCCCCTGCCAATCACAGCAACAAACAATAGTTACACGTAGCTCAGGATTGACCAAACAGAACGTCCCCGTTGCTGTGAAGGTTTTTTTGTCGACAGTCAACACACCGTCATCGCCGCCATAACACACGGTCACAAACATGTAAAGATGGATTCCATCATGAACGGTATCTTGGACATGCACATTTGATTAAGATGGGGAAGATTATTAAAATGGTTTCTGTGGATTGTGGCGCCGTGGTAGGGGGCATAAGCTGAGACTTTTCAGACACTCGGTGCCAAATCGTTTGGATTTGTGACATGGAGGCTTTACTTGTCTAGTTTCATTTATGAGTTCCACACAGGGCATGTGATATTGCATGCATGTAATGCCGCTCTGGTGGCGACGATTAAAGCCCGCTGACGTGACACATCCCGCCAGATTTCTGGGTATGCTGGAGTTTCATGCAGTGTGTGGTGGCCAGGTAGGGTAGCCTGGCTCTTGAATCGTTCGCTCACTACGCCGAAGACGTATAGGTTCTGGTGTCCACCGTCGAGACTTTCCTGAATATTGCTAAAAGCGACGTGAAACTCACTCACTTATTGTCGTGCTGCGTGACTGAACTTTGTTTAACGTCGCTTGTTGCTATGTTCCCTACATGCCAGGGTAGGCAAACTGAAACTGGGCGTAACACGTAGTAAATATGATGTGGAGAATCGAACCCGGTCTTTCGTGTAAAGGGTTATACTCAAAAGCTACCAGTGTTTAGAACAGAATGAAGGCATATCTCTTTTACCCAAGGAGTGAATGAGTACCCGGTAGGATGAGGTGACAAAATGAATGTTAACCTTCTGGCGCCACAGAGTCAGCTTGGGTTGTGTATACTTCCCGGGGCGCTGATAATGACAGATCCATACACACCAATCATTTGACAGGGGCAGTAATACTGCAACGATTCGAGCATACATTGGGTTCTACAACTTCAGTAACAGTGAGTGAGTGAGTGAGTTTAGTTTTATGCCGCACTCAACAATATTCCAGCTATATGACTGCGGTCTGTAAATAATCGAGTCTGGACCAGACAATCCAGTGATCAACAGCATGAGTATCGATCTACGCAATTGGGAACCGATGACATGTGTCAACCAAGTCAGCGAGCCTGACCACCCAATCCCGTTAGTCGCCTAATACGACAAGCATAACATCAGTAACAACAACGGGGTAAGTTGTACATGTGTACACATTTACGGATGATATGTTCTTTGTCTGTTATTCACTTCCATGACGACATCTTATAAATATCCCATTCTGGATCAGACAATCCAGTGATAGATATTGTGAACAACGGCCAACGCCATCGGGTCACAGTGACTCGAAATCATCCAAGTCACCACCCGATCCATTTGTGACCAGAACAGGTCGGGGGTCGAACCCTGAAACCCATGCAGGATACCATATTTATGCAAGCATTGATTCTGTTACACAGAACCAGTTATACAATTAGAATAATTCACGGCACTGCTTATAGACTGACATAGTATTTCATTTTCATTCAGTGATGTTAAAAGCTCATAGTGTCAATCACTGGATTGTCTGGTCGACACTGGATTATTTACAGACAGAAATATAACTGGAAAACTGTTGACTGCGGTGATAAACAACAAACAAACAAACAAACAAACGTCTCGAGGAACACGTGTGGTGTCAGCCCCGTGTAAAATGAGGATTGGTTGATTACAATACCGGACCTGGTTGATTACAATACCGGACCTGGTTGATTACAATACCGGACCTGGTTGATTACAATACCGGACCTGGTTGATTACAATACCGGGCCTGGTTGATTACAATACCGGACCTGGTTGATTACAATACCGGACCTGGTTGATTACAATACCGGACCTGGTTGATTACAATACCGGACCTGGTTGATTACAATACCGGACCTGGTTGATTACAATACCGGACCTGGTTGAATACCGGACCTGGTTGATTACAATACCGGACCTGGTTGATTACAATACCGGACCTGGTTGATTACAATACCGGACCTGGCTGATTACAATACCGGACCTGGTTGATTACAAGGACCTGGTTGATTACAATACCGGACCTGGTTGATTACAATACCGGACCTGGTTGATTACAATACCGGACCTGGTTGATTACAATACCGGACCTGGCTGATTACAATACCGGACCTGGTTGATTACAATACCGGACCTGGTTGATTACAATACCGGACCTGGTTGATTACAATACCGGACCTGGTTGATTACAATACCGGACCTGGCTGATTACAATACCGGACCTGGTTGATTACAATACCGGACCTGGTTGATTACAATACCGGACCTGGTTGAATACCGGACCTGGTTGATTACAATACCGGACCTGGTTGATTACAATACCGGACCTGGCTGATTACAATACCGGACCTGGCTGATTACAATACCGGACCTGGTTGATTACAATACCGGACCTGGTTGATTACAATACCGGACCTGGTTGATTACAATACCGGACCTGGTTGATTACAATACCGG